TAAAAATAGTAAGAAATAAAAATATCTCTGTTCTACAGCTGAGCCTGATCTTGGCGTGGAGCTGGCCCTAGAAATGTTGCATCAGGCCTTCCAGAGGTTTCCTTGACCAGAACAAGTGCAGTGTAGGTATGAAAGTACATAATATGGCGTTACACATGTACTCTAGCATAGAGCTTGTTCCTGGGATAAAAATATAATTGCCTTCAACATAGTTGTTTGGGATGCTCACAGACTCCAACGCCTTTCACTTCATATAAAGCAATTACTGAGAGAGGTGGTGGATATGAAAAAGATTCTGCAAAGTTTTTATTTGGTTTTTCTTTTTTTTTTTTTTTTTTTTTTAATTTGCTTTCATGCCTGATGCACAGATAGTTCTATGCCCCAACGTATTCATGCCAGATGTACTCATTAAAACTAACATAATGCCCTTGCCATCATGGGGTAATATAACTACTGTTTCTGTGATGGTACTGAATTCCCCATACTTCACTCAGGAGACTGGGGTGTTGATATGAAAAATAGACACTGTACGGCAACTATCCTCTCTTGCTATCAGGTTGGCTAGAAGACTGAGTCCATTCCCTTCCTTGGAACTGTTTAGGAGATAAGCTCAGCTGTGGTATATATGCATTTTAGATTTTACTGTTAAAAAGTATTTTTTCTAGTATGCATTAGTAAGTTCAGATAGGAATTTCCATGCCTTCCAGCTATCAGACTCATCCAGATCTCAGAAGGTGCTGGGTAGATTTGAATTCGTCTGCCTGAATAATGCAGATTAATCGAGATCCTCGAAGTTATCACCTTGTGAACAGGAGAAAGTCTCTTGCTGGTGCTACCAATAACATCAGTAAAGCTGTGATAATGAGGGTTCCCCTCAGGTTGCGTGCCATCTCCTTCTCTATTTTTTCCAATTTAGACAAATAGATTCAGTCTGCAGAATTTACATGTGCTGTACCACAAGAAGTTAAGTGTAGATTTGACAAAGCATGTAATGATGTTGCTCTTTTGAACACTGCGCTGGCACAGAATGGGTTTTCTGTGTGTGTGCATGTGAACCATTTATGAAGGTTATGCTGGCTTGGAAATTACTGAACAAGGGAGAATGGCTTCGTGATTGCAGGGTGTCTGAAAAAGCC